ATGTTGTAAACCAACCGGTGGAACTTCGAAGTGTTGCAGGCTTCCTGGAGAAGTTGCGGCCAAAGAAGCTAAAAAATCTGCCGAGAAATTAGATTTTCTAAAGACATGTCGCAACTCTAATTTCCATTCAAAATGAATCGTAGTCATTTTAGTATAAAATATTGATATATATTAATTCAGTTTCAAGAAATCAATAAATCAAGACTTTACTATTTATTAAATAATTATCGGTACTCAATTTTGTGCACATGTGACGTACAAACAAAATTTTATAAGTTATATGTGTTTCTATAAAATATTTAAAATCTTAAATTAGATAATAGGCATATCACATTTTATAAATTTTATCATTAGTAAAAATGAACAATATAAATATAAAGTTTTTAACTTGCATAGTGCTCGTTTGCATTTTAGGATGAGATTGGATTAAAATGGTGCAAAATTGATAGATTGCACTGGTTGGATAACTTTAATCATTTGTTTATTATGTCTCATAAATTTTTGGATGAAAATGATCTTTATAAACATTAAGATATTTCTCAATAATTAAAAAGATAAAACTATGGTGCAAATTAACATTTTTGCCCTGAAAATATTTTGTGCCTTGTTCATAAAAATTTTATCCTAATGACAAAATCTGGTCGAGCACTTATCTTCCACAACTCAAAGCAACGGCCACGACCTTGATGCGATGCACAAAGAAGGTTGTTGATCGTATTTTCTAGGAGTAAAATTTGTCGATGCATGAAAGGTCGTGTTGCACCAAAATTCAGCTCACGGTAGAAATTCCTCTCATTTTTTGGGAAACTGATGATCATATTGTCTAAGGTATTGATCCGATGTATGAATCGTCACCTCAGTTTGGTCGTCCGTCTGAGGTTGATATATCGAGCTCATCGCCAATTTTGTGTCATGCATCTTGATTAACTCCTTCCAAAAATAACTCACGAAAATTCGGTCCCGATAAGACACCATAGAACATGACACCCCATGTAATTTAACTACATTCCACAAACATCTTGGCTATGGATTTCACCGTATAAGGATGGATTAGTGGAACAAAATGTACATAATTGGTGAGGCGATCTACCACCATCATGATCCCATTAAACCCATTCGACATCGATAATCCCATAATAAAATCCATCGAAATGTCTTCCCATATGTGGTCGGGTATCATTAGGGGTTGCAATAACCCGCTCGGTATGCGCAAATCTGAATTCACTCATTGGCAGACATCACACTTCGTCACATAATCCTGTACATTGCTCTTCTATCCCCACCACTAAAAAGTGTTGGCTAGTCGCATGCAATAGACACCCGAATGTTCCCCGACCTTTGACTTATGAAAATACCATATGATCATGGTTCTTAATTGGTCGGATTTCGGTATGTATACTTTTCCTTTAAATAGCAGCAGCTCGTCATGCATGTCGTAGAATTGAGCCGCCTCATCTTGCGCCTCCATCCTTCGCCGTGCCTCATTACAGAATGTGTCATAGACGTAAGCCTCTCGTAATTGATCCCAAATGGCCCATGTTGCTCTGAAAATAGCCTGAAGCTCGATCACATCGGTGTGGAGTGATAGATCGTCTGCCACCAAATTCTGGTGCCCCGGCTGATAACAAATCTCAAAGTCAAACCCCATCAATTTTGACACAAATTTTTGCTGGTCCAACGTCACTATAAATTGTTCCAAAAGATGCTTGAGCGGCTATTAGTCCGTCACAATCATGAAGAGTGTAGCCCTAAAAGATAGAACCTCTAGACTCGCACCGCTTCCACCATGGCCAACATTTCCTTCACGTAGACCAACCACCCGATATGCATACAAACTGAAGCCTTACTCAAATATGAAATTGGTTGGTTCTCTTGCATGAGGAAACCCCCAATCCCAATGTCACTTGCATTGATATGAACTTAAAAAAAAATCTCGGGATTGCTAGAACGAGAGTGGTAGTCATGCTCGCTTGAGCTGATCAAACACCTTTTCGCTCACTATCGTCCACTTCGGAACTCACCCTTTTTGTCATTTTCGTCAATAGCTTGGCTATCTAACCATAGTCCTTGAAAATTTTTCGGTAGTAGCCCGTTAGCCCCAAAAATCCTCGTAGTTCTGTTAAACTCCTCTGTTTCTACAAGTCCTGCATCGCCTCAATTTTCCTGGGATCAACCTTCACACCCTCATACAAAATTATGTGGCCCAAATATTCCACCAACCTTTGCCCAAACGAACATTTAGACGATTTAATATGAAAAAAACATTTTCTGCCAAAATCTTCAAAACCAATCTCAAGTGCTCAAGATGAACATCCCAAGTTTTTGAATAAATTAGTATATCATCAAAGAACACCAAGACTGTTTTGTGCAAGAATTCTTGAAAGATGGAAGTCACGACAAAGAAAAGTTGAAGGAGCATTACATAGACCAAACAAAATTACTAGATATTCGTAGTGTCTTTGATGAGTGCGAAACACCATCTTCGGCATATTTGCATTTGCCACTCTTATCTGATGATACCCGACCCCTAGGTCCAACTTAGAGAAATATTGTGATCCCCACAGTTGATTCAACATATCATCAATAGTGGAAATTGGAAAACGGTCCTTCATAGTTGACGTGTTAAGTGCTCGAAAATCCATACGGAACCTTCAAGTTTTGGTTTTTTTTTGGCAAGCAACATAGGTGAGGAAAATGAGCTTGTATTATGCCTGATTAGCCCCGCCTCCAACACATCACGAACTAGCCTATCAATCTCGGTTTACTAAAAATGGGCATACCTGTATGGGTGGACATGCACGACCTGATTTTCATCCTTCAACAGGATGTGTGATGGTTGAAGACCTTTAATTTGAGAAGGCCCTTAGGCTCAGCCAACACCTAGACAAGGCCAAGACCCGGGCCGGGTCGCCGGGCTCGAAAACAATGACCCAGACTCGGCACAGACATATACTAGTGCGGGGTCAATGGCCGGTTGACCGGAGGATCTGGATCCGGGATAGGTCGTGTCTGGGCTGGGTCCATCGTTCTTTTAAAAAACAACAGAAAAAGTGGGTCATCGACCCAGCCCGGGCCCGCCGGGCCTGGACATGAAATGGATGACCCTGACACGGCCCTTAGGAAATTCGGTCCGATCGCGGACCCGTGGTCAACGGGTTTGACCGGGCCGAGTCCGTTCCAGGTCCGGGCCGGGTCGGCGGGCCGAGTGGCCCTTGGCCATGTCTACCAGTACCTTATCGAACTGCTGCAACAAGTCGATGATCTCCCGGTGATGCGGCGTGTAGGATCAGGCTATTGTCCACCTTGAGAGCAAAGAATTGACTTCTGCCTTTTCCACAATTTCTCCATGCATTTCAGGCTCACTTCTTTGACTCCCTCACTAACTCCGACCATTATCTTGATCAGTCTGTTACCCCAATAAAACTCCATAGTTCTTACCATATAGTCTGTCGTGATCGGACCCAACTCCTCAAGCATTGAACACCCAACATCACATCTGGCCTTACTAGCAACAATGCATAAGTTCTGCTCTTGCGGTCACGTTCTACAGTTTGATGGGCACATCCTGAAGAAATTCAGAGCACCTTTCCCCATTAGAGACTCTCACGTCAAACGGTTCCACGTGAGTCACTGACAGATTCAATTTCTTGGACAAGGAGGAGTTAATGAGATTGTAAGATGAGTCGTTATAGACCAGTACCGCCACTCGTCGATCACGAACCCAGGTCGACAACTTTATGGTCCTCGACCCTTGCGTCTAGCCATCGCATGGATTGAGATCTGTGGGTCATCTCTTGTGGATCCGTATCATAAATTGGCTCATCTTCCTCTTGTGCTTCTTTATAAGATTCCACGAACTCGATTAGAAACGATTATTTTTCTTCATATCTATGACCTGAAGCAAATCTCTCGTCGCAATTGAAGCATAGACCATTCTGTGATTGTCGTTGCATCTTGTCCTAAGATAGCCGCTTAAAACCCACAGGTATCCACCTCGCGTTTCCTGCTGGTGCTCTATCTCCAGCTCTGTGTGTTAGTGGAAAAGGGGTCTGGGCATCGCACCTCTAGTTGATGGGCCTTGCACATGACTGCCAACTGGACAACTCGCATGCGTGCGGCCTCCGTGGCTTCGTGCGTCATCTTCAGTCTCTCCGACCTCTATTCACCGGCCAAGTCAGGCTTTAAAACCCCAATAAACACCCCCAACCAACGTCCCTTCCGGCCAACCGTGAACACGAGTCACGATTCTTTCGATCTCCTTCAGATACCCATGCAAACTTCCCACTTGCTTGATATGCAATAGGGCTTCATCGTAATCATGGTTACCCGACGACCCAAACCGCGTAATCAACTCCTTTTTAAAAAGATTTCCAGCTTGTAAACCCTTGATAAAAACTGCCACCATATGTTCGTCTCCCCATTGAAATAGTAGATGACAAATTTATCCCTTTCTGCTTCGGGTATTTCAATTTGAAATACTGATTGGCGGGGCTCAACAACGAATTCGGGTCCATCCTATTGGAGGTAGGTATGATAAATTTTGGCCTTTTCGCAAAATCATTGCGGAACTCTGATTCTTTATCCGAATTGTTAGTCTTCTCCGACGACGAATCGAAATCACCCCTTCGCATGTGTCTGGCGGTTGTTTGGAGCATCATTTGCTCGATCCTTGCGACAACCTGATTCATTGATTGTACATTGTCGTTAATCGAACACACGCTCTCCTCCAAATGATTTGTCCATTCTCTATTCGACATGATGATACACGATAGGTTCTCTCAGTGAAAACACCAATAATGAAGATTGTGTATCGAATGGTTGGAATTGTGATAGCCCGCATTGACCGTCGTCGATTAAACACAAGATTTGAGCTCGAACGCAAGCGGTTTTTTTATATCTTATTGCTTAAGTTTTCTAAAAGATGAACACACAGAGTCTTAAAGAAAGAATAATACTAAAATTGCAACTAAGATCCTAGGAAACATAAATTAAAGAAAATTTCAAACATGTCCCTGGTTCACGTCGAGCTGTCGGGGCTCGGCAAGGCTTCGCGGCGCAAGGTCTTGAGCTATTGAGGCCTCAGTCCGGTCGCTACGAGTGTCGCGTGTGAGGTCATCCTCGCGCGCTTGTGCCCGGTACAAGCACGATCATTATTATAAGCATGCTTGTGTATTTGTCCTTCATCAGCATCATCAGATGCTTTCAACACCTTCTTCATCGAAATCGGGTGAGGAAAGCATGTCCCTAGAGCTATATTTGTTGATTTCGAACCCAATACTGTTATCGATGAAGTCAGAACAGGAAAATAGCGCCAGCTTTTTAACCCTCAACAGCTCAAATCAGGGAAGGAGGATGCTGCCAACAACTTCGCTAGAGGACATCATACTGGTTAATATCCAAGTTACTCTTTAAATTTTGCAACAAGAAAATCTATACAACTACTTTGGTATTTACTGTCGAAATGTAGTCGTCATTTGGGCGATAAACCTAGTCAAAGTTTATCTTATTTTATTCTAGAATTTCATTTTCCAGAAAAAAATACATTGCATGGATACATGTTTGATTTGAGTAAGCAGCATTATAGTACTTTTCTAATAATAAGTTTCAGCTCAAAAAACAAACAGCTTGTCTCTGTAAATAAACCTTTACCTGATTTGAACTTGAAACTCATTAGTAGAATACTATAAATTGATGTCAACTGCAGGTGTCCACAGCAGTTGTCAAGCCTTACATTAGTGTTCTCTTCTCTGGAACACACAAAAACACCAGACACGGAACAAGAAATCCTCCTGAATCTAAGCTAAATAGGTTACCAAAACTAAAACAGTCAATGTCTTTATTTCACTACATTCCAGGGTTGCAGAAATATACAAATGGGAAATCATCCGCCACTGACTATCCGGAAAATGGATTTTTCAAACTTCCGGACGATCCAGGGTCCAACATCTCAGCATTTCCTGAATTCCATAAAAAAAAACACAAAAAATAACGATTCCATAAACAACAAAGAGAGAGAGAGAGAGAGAGAGAGAGAGAGAGAGAGAGAGAGAGACCGGTACTACTAAGGGAGTCCACTGGGTACTCGGGATTGGGAGTCGGGTGATATTGTTCACAAACGTCATACTTGAAGAGAAAATTGTCGAGATAATGTGGTGCTGCATTACTAGGGAGAGAAAGACCCGAACTGCCAGATGAGTAATCAACTGGGTACTCAGCAGCTGCCGAATTCAGCTGATGATGATGCTGTTCAAAAACACCATAATTCAAGTGAAATCCTTCCAAATGTTGCACCATGGTATTACTACTATTAAAATAGGGTACGAACGCGTTGCCTCTCGGAGGATTTGATACCATCAAATTGCCACGTGCCACAAAACTTAAATCCGATCGGCCTCCGCCAAATATCTGCGCATTCTCTGTTTGTTCCAAACCCGCATTCGGGTGGTATTGAGGCAATAACATGTTTGGGTAAACATCATTAGTTTCTCTAATTTGAAAGGGCCGATCAAGATTTCCTTGGATTGATGGTCCATAGTTGTTTATAACATACACTTGCCGCATATTCTCTGGTTTTAAGTGCCTGCTTTCTTGAAGATCAACATTCCGGTATTGAGCTATAAAGATTAAAACACATTGATAAAATCCTTTGAACACAATGAAAACGAA